GACAGCTATTTGATTCGCCTTAGTCATTCAATCAGGAGTCGATTCGGCTTGGACGTCACGAGCGCACTTGGGGTGTGACGCGCGTCGCTGCGTGGCAGGACGGATTTTGTGCGCTCCGTCCTAACAGTTGTGTATCAAACCTAAGTTCCAATTGTTCCACAAAGTTAAGATTAGGATGTGTACCTTTTAAAATTTGTTGATTTCTGAGCCTCCTCCCGAGTATTGTGTACCTATATATAAATATACATATGTAACACCGGCTTGCGGACAAGCAAGGTGCCAATGCCACAACAATAATAACAATAACAATAACTGGGGGGATACAGAACATAGGCAAAAAAGACGTAACAGTACCTGGTACAAATATAAGCTTAAAATGAGCAAATACTCTTTTCTATCGCACTCGGAACAGCTAGCAAATAAAATCTCATGTAAACAACTGTCCATGTAAAGAAAAATATATCAGTTAGTGCGGGTAAATCTATGGTACGGTATATACAACACATGGATTACATCAGAAAACGTTTCAGCCTAGAGTATGTCAAATAATTAGTCCACTCTTCAAACGCATCTAAGTCTAGAACTTCTTGGACACTTCACTCTATGTCGGTCTTGGAAACAGAATAGTTTTCAAATCTCATTTAATCAACACAATTTTTTCGGTAAATGAATGAATTTGAGTCCTGAGAAACTCAGCTGTTTAGCGTTAAATTATATATGGAAAATTCTCGTTTATTACAAAAGATCCTAAAATTCGCTTGTATGCCATGAGATACGGTATGGGGGATTTGCAGTGAACAAGGAATCCTCACCTTGCCCGAACCAATCTGCTTTAAACACATTGCACAAAACTGTTAGTTATCCTTTTTGTTATTGATGGGAGAATACAGAATATATTTCATCAAACACAGGGTAGAAGTCTGAATACAATATCACGTATTCCTAATGATCACGAAAATATCAACCTTTTCTATCAGAGAATAATTGGCACTATTCTCTCTGTTATAGCTTGAGCGGTTCAACCTTTCCTACGAAAGCAACTAAATTACACAGTGTAAACACTGTAGAACATTCATAAGGATTTAGTCGATAGTCAAACAAATCCTACTCACCCGATAGACTGATGCCAACAGTGTAGAGCTGCGTTATTATCACTGATCGGCTCGAAAAGAGTACGAACCCAACGGTAAGTACGTCGAGTTGAGCACGGGATTGAATCCGGCCATTGCACGGAAATTCGGTAGATGGCAGTCCAACCCATAGACCGGTATCGTAGCACTAAAAAAATGTAGACGAACAGTGCAACAAAGCAATTAGGATAAACCGCGAGGCATAATAATTACTACAATAGACTCTCTTTTGCTCACAACCAAAAGATCATTCCACTGAATATGAGTGGTGTATGATAGATAGTCCTGATCGCATACAGCCAAAGTACCATTAAATTTAAAAGAAAAAATACCTGGAAGAAAGAAATTTAAAAATCACATTAATAAGCAGTCCGTACAGCGTAGTCAAACCATAGTCTCCAGAAGGATGTTCCATACATAGTTTGGCAAATTTAAAATTGTAAAAGATGCAGAGCTCTGATCCGAAAAATGGGAAGTTTCCGAATGCGCGTTTCAACGCACTGTAAACCAAGAATATCGAACTTCTTTTTCGTGCAACATAAAGCTTTCATCAGACCAGAAGAACAAACCTTCAAACAATGGAGTTGATTTGAACCACCTCAACGCCATCTACGTACATTCATCCTTCAACCTGCACTGATGTCGGTTTTCAACTTTTCTCCACAACGAACAACAGAGAAATTCTTCGTAAGTCTAAAACGTCCTCTGCCACTAGTTCTGATTATCTCCCACTGAAATTATCAGGTATGGATCGCGCTACTCAACTTTTTAACACATATGACTGCTGTAATAAATGAATTACTCTTTAAATGCTTTGACTCCCGAATCTTAACGTTCAGCTATCCTTTCAAGTTATTTAGTATGCTCTAACTCAGCAATCTGCGTTAATACTATGAAGTACAAGACCAATCGAGATTAAATTACAGATATAGAAAGGCACTGAAAAAGAAGCAGGATAACAGAACATATTTAAAAGAACGAAGCTATGGTGTTTGCCCAAACCGTAAACAATATTGAACGGTCATAAATTATCACCGAATCAAAGGAATTACTTGCACAATCACACATGCGTAGATATGACAGAGGTGTGACGGGTGATAAATAAAACGCCTATGAATCATAAATTTATGGAATGAGATAGTCATTTTCTTGTTGTTTACGTGTTCATTGATATTTTCTTGACTGTATCTCAAATTCCTAATCAAATATACGAAGCGATAACTTATAGGAGAGTAAACAAACAGGAGGATTGACAGCAACTACTGAGATGCTTCACAGTGCGCTAAAAGACTTCACTCTGGTCCTAGATCTTGATCAATCAAATACCCACAAGAACAGCGACATAAAGTATAAATATTTGTTGTTAAGGGAATTTTTGCAACTGAAAATGACACTGGAGTTTGCTAGGAGTGCAGAAAGGACGAAATCCTTTTGACAAAAGAAAAATCATTTCGTTGTAGCATAGAGTGTGATGTGCTCACCGTTTTGCATAGATTGCAACACACGCTCTAAATCATCCAAATGCACAAGGGCCAGAAACGGGCGTCCACATAGACTCGAACCAGAAGGAAGGTCTCTAGGATGATCCAAGCTTTGAAGGTTTATTAGAGGCGGAAAATGGATCATCATCCGGTGAGGAGACAAAGAGAGAGAGGGACACATGTATACACTGTTGGGCCGCACACCTTCGAACGAAAGAATATGAGAAAAATCTAATCAGTTTATACCTCAGTTGGCTAAGCTCTGTTACCTTTTGTTTTGGTAAATGATCTCACTATAATCTGTCTACTGATTTGGCGTAATCAGGCAGAAAAGTAACGACGTATCCAGAAAACCGACTAATCTTCTGACAGGAAGTGGTCATTAAAAGAAATGTAATTACGAGTGCATCGATTGGATGCCAAGTAATTCAACCTCTTCTGTGAACAACATCATCTTCACGACAAAATTATCATGCGTTGATTAACAAGTATGCTGATGAGTCATTTGAAATCAATATCGTGCAGCTTCTTCTGTCCAAACCACCATACCGACAAACTAGAGCAAGAGCCAACTCATAGCTTTTGAAAAACAGAAAATATCGTTGATAAATTAAGTGGAGCTTACCTGCCTTCCACCGAGAGTATTTTTCCGGTGAGATCCAGCTGCATTCGAAAAGGAATGTCGTGCCGAACTCCTGGATTCATTGTGCAAGAAGCACAAGGACAAGGGGGAGACTCGTCATTCACCGCCGTAATAGAAGATAAATCAAATTGAGACAGCTGAGCGATTAGATCACAAGCGTTGGGGTCCAATCCATCATAGGAATCATCTGCAATATTTTCAGTACCACTGTTACTGTTTTTGAGAAACACTGCAGAACCTGGGGACTGTTTTGCTCGACCCACAGACCGTCTCCTCCTGGACCGGCGTCTCCGTGACCCACGTGACTCTTGTAAATGATCTGCTTGGGAGATGGTAGGTGGACCGACACGTGCTTCTGTGGGGAGCGATCGAAGATAGGGTCTGCAATGTTGTGGAATCGGCTGAAGCAAGCATAGTTGTAGTTCACTCAATGTTGGTTGTGATCTTTGTTGTTGCTGCTGCTGTCGCACTCCTCCCAATGACAGCGATGCATGCGCATCGTCCGTTTGTTGGGCCGCTTCCGTGTCAGAGGAACATCCACTTTCATCAGTATCATCTATAGCGCCTATTTTGACGTTCCGATTGTCTGTATCTGATTTTGTTGATATAAGTTCAGAGGTTTCCGCGAAATGACATCCATCCGACGATGAGTGAGGTTCAGGCGGAAATCTGAGTGTAGTTGAGTACCAACAATGAAAGACCTTTAAATGAGTACAAATAAAAAAATGAAGATTTAATTTAGAATGCGGAATAGATATGTAGAAATGTCACCAAATCCTTATGCATCTCTCTCCGGGGAAAAAAAAACTAATCTGGGAGCACCAACCGATTTTATTACAGAGGTTGATATGTGGTTCAACATCAGGACACTGTTTAAAAATGACAGAACAAACGTACGACGCATTCCCTGAGATTTACGTTCATTCGTCTAATCTATTTGGCTTGCTCCTCATTCTTTTTATGAAAACCAAAAGCTAATCATCACAAAAACACTGAAATAATACCTTGTCTTTAGCTCAACAGTCGTCATAAATATCGGTTAGTTTGATCAATGATGTCAACGTGAATACGGGAGTTTGTGGAAGAAAAATTCACTCATTTTCCATAAAGTTACTCTCGTTGAACCATACATTCCACTCTCTTGAAAGACCAACGATAGAATCATAGATACTGTCAAACTGGACAGTGGCCCATTTACATGGGCTATTTACTGGTCATGAATGTCCGCCCATTTGAGAATGAAACGTAACCTTGCGAGTTAAATGCTAGGTCGCTGCACGGAATTGTGGGCTAATCGTACCGGTATCGACAATCCACTCGAATGGAGGTTAGATAGCAGTTCTTGTTCACTCACAAAAGTAGAGGTGTGTGTGTGTTCTAGGTTCGCACAGCCGTTAACCTTGCACTGTGGTGCGACGGTTTTGTTTGCTATCTTCTTTTGGTTATACCCATCCGACTGACCGTTGGCTGTACCAAAGGCAAGTGAACTGTTTACGACACTCAATCACATAACGTGGTGTTTCTAACCATTGATTATATAAGTCACATATTTCTTGATCTAAAGGTTTCACGCAACTATGTAATCAAGGGGCTTATCGGGTAGCACCCGCGCGACGTGTTCCGCGCATCTTGCTCCATGCGGGTCAGGTGCCCGTTCCAGTGCGCGACTGCGATTATCTGAAACGTTGTCTCTCCATATCATTGCTTGAACAGTGACCTCAACAAACTCATCCAATGCGGCATAGACTGCGCTGATCGAACACCTCCTGTCTGTCTCTATCTTTCTCTGAAAGATGTGTCAGCGCTGGTCGATCAGCTGCCGCATACACTCCACCCTTCACGGACAACCGAATGTTGCGCGGGCGCCAAAAATCCCTCAAAGATAACACGGAATACTTTAGTCGGTTTTACAGCCGAGGAACGAACGAATTTTCTAAACTAGCGTTGGATAAACAGCAGAAAAATATTATTATTCATGTTGAATCTTCAAGAGTAGCATTTTGACATCCAGATATAGGCAATAAGTTCCTTCATTCCATGAGGAATTCAGGTATTTCAAAACACTATTTGATACTAGTGAATTTTCGAAAAAGTGCAATCAACAATTGGTAAAATGATTTCTTCATTTCTCCTGCTGCACAGAAACTGACCTGTGGAAATTTAGAGCAATCATGACGACGTGAAACAGGGTTTGTTTCACCAGTTCCGACGGTCGAAGTAACCATCTGGGGACTCAAAGCAGCAGCGGAAGTATTATAGCGGGTTGATCTTTTCTTTCGACATCGTGTCTTTGTTCTCCCGACTGAGTCTATGCGATCAAGGAGGCCGGCCAGGAGAGTTCGACATGAAGCAGGATCAATGGGTGTCGGTCGATAGATTTCAAAAAACTCAGAAAACCAAAAGTGTTTTGTTGACTGTAACGCAGTTGTAGGAGATGATGTCATCGATTTTTCTAGTGGTTGTGGCGAACAAGAAGGACTCGTGGTTAAACTGCTCCCGGTAGTCGTGCCGATTCCGCTCGTACTGCCGCTGCTACTGACAGAGTCATACTCTAGTTGTGGATCACTCAAGCAAGGATTGCACGCTTTTCTCCGGGATGAAGAACTATTACCGGGAGGACAGGGAGAAACGGATGAAGAGAATCGATTCCAGTTGGGATGAATTACATTATTCAGAGAATTCCCGATTAGATTGATCTGATGCATGGGGAAGAGAGAAAAACAGAAAATAGTCATAATATTCGGAATTAACATAATCTAACAAGTATACTGTAGAATGTGATTTTTTATGAACTACTACAAAAATGATACCTTAGGGAAACCTTAGGTCTTCTAAAAAAAAAACTACCGACCGGATCAATATTACGCCTAACCTGGTGAAAACTTACGTAATGTGTAACCATCACGACAAGAGTGAACCTAAATGTGGTGTGACGGCTTGTGTGCCTCCATGACCCTTTGAGCTACACAGGATGGCTCCTCACATCCACAGATCCAATGCCGGAAAGGTCAACGGGCAGAGATCAGACGAAGCTCAGTCTCACAAGGCTAGTTGATTGGGCACCTCATAGCTCCCTTGAGCTCTCCACTCTCACCCCTGGAAAGGTCGATCCAGCAGACAGACACGAGTTGGAGCAGTGAACCGGTTACCCCCCCCCCCCCGCCCCCTGCTAGAAGGGCGGAAGATCAGGGTATCGGGGGATTCTACCCGACAATGGAAGAAGCCTTCATACTTCACGTGACTTCATTAAAGCTTTCTCTTTTTATGACGATTATCCAACGATTTGTTGGACACAGTCTGGATTCAGACGTGTGAAATAGACAGACTTCACTGGACACCGAAACCCAAAGACCTTGCGCGATAGGTCTCTAGAAGCTCCCACACGGGTGATCGGTCAATCTCCCACTTTGGATTTTCGCCCCTCTGCGTTGTGGAACAAAGTTTTGAGCCAAAGACTCGAGTCGAGGTTTCAAAAGAACCAAACTTTTATCAGTACTGAATAGCACAAATGATGTCGTGCCCTAAAGTCTTGAGTATCCGTCTCGAAATCCCTCTTTCTCATCTGCCTAGTTCTTCCTCTCACTCCCAAATCGTACGAGATTACTCCTGTTTACGACACCGTTGGGGTGTCACTCAGTGTTTAACCAATAAGGTCAACCAATTAAAAGCATTAATAAAGACTAAATCTCCTTTTACTTACAAAACGTGCTAACGGCAATGAATCTCAACAGAAAGCTGGCACAAGTGAAACGTCTTAAACCACCATAAAGTTCATAGAGTTTATAGGAAGGTGAAAACGTGATGAGCAATCCACGGTAACTGAATAATCAGTAAATTGTTTTTACTCAACAGAATGAATTTTCCGCATAATTCGAAAAGTTGGCAGGAGACATTGAATTCGTCCTTGACAGTTTTCCCATTGCACTTTATGCCTAGGGTTTTATTTCTACAGGATGGAGCACAAATGCACAGCACAAAAGCAGTCACCGATTGAGTTGACGAGAGCTTTCTGTTATTAGATGTATCAGTTTACAGTTTATAGAACCACTAACCATGCACTTTCATTCGTCGATTTCGGTTGCTGTATTTGGATGAAGCAGTAGGAGGAAAACAGGAAAGTTGATGTACAATCAAAGAGAAAATGGAGAATTTCAGTGGGCTAAGGTTGCGAAGAAATTGAGAAGACTCACGGACGACACTGTTTATGACACTCAACCTTATAACTCAGTGTCTCTAACCATTGATCCCGAGGTTCTCATCCAGGGAGCCTCACAATATCTGCGTGACCGAGTCTCGCGGTTAGGGTTTTCACATCCTCGTCTTATTAGACCACTTTTGGCTTCTTTCCACTCACTGCCTGCTCTGGCAAACATCGTGCGCCGTAGCAACCTATGTTGTGACATGCGTAACACATGCCCCAAACAAAGTAATCTATGGATGTCGGCTACTTACTCAAGTGAACGACGGCGGTTTGTTACCTGTGACATATGTAGAAAGAGTATCGATGAAAAGCTCGATCACAGGTATAATTTTAACCGACTTAGACGTGTATGAACTTTAGCTCACTTGATGTTATCATTGCACATCTTTGATCTGCTTTAGATGCCTGTGTGTTGAATCAATAAACGACATTTGGAACAGGGCAATGACCGAGAGTATCGGATGTCTAAAAAACTGAGTTCCCCTGTTCACAAAGAAATCATATTGCTTCAATTTTTCACCCATAGATTGCGCTTATTCATAGAACCCCATCCCACTGACCAAATACACCAGACACCATTCTCATGTTAGCATGTGAGGTCATCGTCTGATTACTTTTAAGTTTCCTATATCCACTGTTCACTTCAGCAAACAACCTGCATAACACATGCCCCAAATATCGTAATCTGTCAAGGTGAGATGAGTACATGTGTCTAATCCGATTGAGAAATGCACAAAAAGGAATATTCTTTCTGATATAGACATCCAAGAAGTCAATGACAATGGAGATTCGTGAAAATAATCCATAGACTCTAGGACATTGGCTACGCATTGGAAACAGACTACGCTCTTCTTAATTGATTGGCAAATAGCATTTATTGTTTGGGTATTAGGGATTTTTATTTCAGAGATAATTTCCTCCTGGTTGGTGAGACACATTTGTAAGATCTTGCAAAAATAAGAGGTCAATCATAAGCATGTACAAATCTGATGCATTTAGAATCGAAATTGACAGAAGTTTTTCCGTTCATAGATTATTTCAAAGACATCAAGAATTGAGTTTCGACTGACCTATAAATCCGTCCTTCAATTGCCATCGGTTAAATGACATACGATATTGGACGCGTCAGTGTAAATTATATATATAATGTGCACTGACGCTGGTTTCTGCCATTATCTAAGAGTGTGGATTGGCGCGATTAAACAATTCAACATTTCATCGATTCTTGCTTTTTTTCCTATTACGGCCACTGCCTTGGACAGTCCAAACAATGGTTGTGTTCTGTTGCCAATATGAATCAAACGTACCCAAGTCCAACCAATTCGTTCGGCCAAGGCTGGGGTGGCATACACGATGCGCATATCAGTCGGATCAATCAGGAGTCCGTAAAGAGATTGACTGTGCAGACTCAATGTTGGGGTTGCTGTTGTGCCAAGATCTGTGGATACACGAGTAAGATTGAAATTGAAAGAGATGCGAGTGATGATCGGGTTTAATTTGATACGACAAAGTACAAACAGAAAAATACTATTTGAATTGACTGATGCGAATGATCTCTAATGCTGAGCTCGATGATGTTTGCAGCACAAAACAAGAATAATCTTTGAATCACTGGAACATGTCATATACCTTTTTGATGTTGGATTTTGTAACTAACCGCGTGGAAATGATGATAAGACTATTATAAGAACATAAACCATACTGATTTCCTCAATTTTTGCGTACATCGGTACATGTGGTTTAGCAGGAAGAGAGTATGACCAGTAATCCGGATGATGTCGGCCTTTTCCAAATTGATAGCAGATGTCGATTTGGAGGTCAGTGCCGATCCGGAAGTGGTCAATCCATTTGAGTGCCGATTTGAAACAGGGCTGTTTGATTCGAATTCCGGATCGGATGGATTCAGAAGCGAAAACAGATCTTCGACCAGTGCCGGGTCTTCCTCTTTGGTGAAAAGATTTAACAGTCCCCCAGCTTCAGTTACGATGCCATGCAGTCCCAGAACCTCAGTCGAGATAGGCAATGCGTTTTGTAGAAGCATCAAATTCTGACTTTCTCGATTCCGTCGAATTTGCGCAGCTAATCGGGAGCGTTCACGGCGTTGCTCAGCGCGTTCGATTCGATGACCTGTCTCTCCCGAATGAGCCGAACCACAATGCAGCATCTTACGATGATGCGGACGTCTTCGACGCCGGCAACGTTGAATGGTGCTGGTATTTAGGGAAGAGTTGGCTGCATTGGCAGATCGAGGACTGCTTTTATTTGAATGAGGCTCGAGCAAACATTGACATTCCAACGAGTGGTTTGCGGAGTCTAGAAAGGAAACGTAGTTGCAATAAATCATTCAAAGATAAATAAATGAAAGTATTTCAGTGTATATATTACTTATTCCTACACACGTTATTTACTGAACTTAGGTGTTAGTGAGGGGGGGGGCAGGAGAAGTGGGAATGAATGCTTTAGAATGCTTGCAGTTTTCTACGAGTCACAACGGAAAACCTCTTTTATTCATCTCTATCTCAGAGTAGTGCTTAAGCATATCATACATTTCCCCATCATTTGAGAATAATCGTGTTTAGCTAAAGATCTATAGTAGTAAAAATTACTACTTAGATACCTTACCAACCTCGTCCCTTATGGATGTCGTTAATTCGATCTGAAAATGATTGTTCACCAACCGAACGCCAGGTTTATGTTCGCTGTCGCATTCGATTTTATTTCATGGTCCCCATTTAGTGATCACACCATTCGTAACCCAGCGAATTCTCATTACGCCTAAAAGATGATTAATCCTGTTTCGCGTTATCCAACTCTCATGAGTTTACACGAACTGAATTTTCTGTCTGAAGAAAGAAACTTTAGCGTTCTGGGTGTAAGACTGCTTTTGCACAGGCATCTCTTGGCATTCATCGGTTTCAACATTCGCTCATTGTTTAGCAAATTGGCTGGCCTCAGTGATCCATTGATTGTATGCAGAGAAACATGGGTGGAATACAGGAAACATGGCTAAATCAAATCTTAGAGGATTCGCTCGTCAATGTACCCGGTTTTGAAAGCTTTCGGCAAGACGGAGTCAAAAGAAGGAAGAAGGCTGAGGAGGGTGAGTGAATCATAGTCATCGTCATGTTGTACAAACACATAAGCACCACCACAAAAGTTAAGTCTGGTGTTCTAGCGCTAAGGGTAGCAAAACGCATTTCAGTCACAACAAAGGAGGCAGCCAAAATGCTAAAACGTCAGTACGCTCAAGTGTTCACCGCACCTGCGAACACCGGACAACGACTGCTTCTGTTACTTGAGGATACAT